AATAAAAATATACAATATAAGGCATGTCTACAGCACATGTCCAGAAAGTCACAACAATGGAAAAGAAATACAACGCTCCTTTGACATTCTTTGTCAAACCCGTAACAAGAAATTTCATTGATCACAAAGTGTTCATATCACAATACAGAGTGCACAAAAAAATATTTTAAAAAAAGAAAGAAGGGAAACATCAACAACAAAAATGGACTGGATGAGATTTGAAGAAAGCTTCACCGACCATCAGGCCTACTTCATCCATCAAACTTTCAAGTAATCATACACCATTAAAGGGCACGCATTTCGGTATGAGGAAGCACGGCTTTCAATTCACGCTCGAGAGGTCAAGCTAGTGCTAAATTATTGATTTTTTTCATTTCTTAAAAAAATCTCTAAACAGAAAAGGATGTGTCTGGAACATATTAATTACCCCGAATCCTCAAAATGAGTAGAAAAGGGGTTAAAATATGCCAGGGCAGGTTAAAGGTCTTCAAATTTCCAAAGGCTTGTGCAAATTTATCCTTTGAGGACGTACATAACAAGATAAGTCACTCAACCAAAAAGACTTAGTGTCCACTGAAGTCCGCGCATTGGTTCAGACGGCGCTGCAGTCTTTGTTTTGAAGCTCTCTTTCGTTTCTCCAGAAGAAGAATAGGAAAAGCACAGTTTGTTAGTTTCACTTTTATTGTTTTTCACACAAGTAGGGTAACTCTGGTCGCAAAATCCGCATATTTTTCGAAGAGTGCGCCACCGCAATCTGAGGACACTTTTTTTATTGGCTCAAAGAGAGGAGTGAACTATCTTGTTACACACAATCTTTGGTTCAGTATCGGTGTTTGCACCAAAGAAACCCATTCAAGTCAGCGACACATGAGCGTTTTTTCGACTATCTTAAAAAAAAGAAAGCGGGTGGAGTTACAATGATTATGATCTTTTAGAATTAATTGTCTATTTAACCTCTTCGAAATTTTGGCCAGCATTTATGTTTGTGTTTGATGCTCCTCGCCTTATTTCAGAGGGACAGTATTAATATCTGTGTAGATCAGGCATGAGCCAGTGTGTCCAAGCAGGAGTAAACTGGGTGAAATACCCACGCTCTCAAAAGTGAGACTAAGTGAGGTTTGTTTGTCACCGTGAGTATTATATAATCAAAGAGTTCACTCATAGAGAATACAATATTTCCTAAATGTAGCCGTTCTTAAAAGTATATTATCCAATTTTTGTTTTAAACACAAGCTGACTTTAAGTTAACAATCACCAGTTTACCGCGTCATACATCATTATCATAGTTTCGTTAACATGGCATCGTACAAAACATTTTTTAACTCATCCCAGCTTAACTATGGTGACTCGTGAATAGAAGAACATTAAATTTGGAAACTGAAAGATAGCTGCCGTTGACGGGACTTGAATTCCATTTGACGTGTATTTTATGTATAAGACTTCTGAAAGCACTTATCCACCAAATGATAACAGAACTGATTGACCAATTGGAGGGATTTCAATGGCCGGAACAAGCACACGTTTGAAGTACTAGTCAGCATCAGAGGATAGTTTGCTTTTGCTTTAAAAAAATAGGCCTATATTGTTTTAATATACAAAACAACTCCCCC